CATAGATTTGTTTGCAAATGTGTTACCATCTTTACACATTTTCCTTTGTCTCCTATGTATCAATATTTTTTTAAAATATTGTAATGCTTTAGAATTTTCTATACACTATGTATTGTTATTTTACCCATTCCAGAACTTCAGCAGCACTGCTATAATCATCTATTGCTGTGTTCTTTGATTCCCTTAATTCACAATGTATAAGAATTATCCATTACACCTCACATATTCTGTCATTTGCAGTCGCTCTCTCTTACATTCATGCCTTATCCTGCTTTGAAGCTCTTGCTTCAGATTTCTTTTCTGACTCTAAAATGATTCTGCTGAAATAACAAATACTGAGGGGGTTTTATGTTCACACCCAAGTTTTCATCTTTGACCTTTTGGACTTCTTTAGATCCCTTCTCTGTACCTACATCCTTCATAATTTCGTTATGCACTACATCCTGGCTGGAATTTCCACAGCAGTCTTGTTAGGCAATATATTCAAGCTTAATCTAAAGTATAAGCATACTTATTTGGAATTAAGTTGGATTTAAAGAGAAAAACAATTCTAAATAAATGTAATTGGAAATTTGGCTGCTGTATTTGATCATCATAAAAATCTGGTTAAACAATCCACCTTTAAAACTCTATAGTATATATTTTCTTGTACTCTTATTGTGGTTTCTTTGATGTGCAAATCCAATGATGGTGTAAGGCCTTTCCCTGTTAGGAGAAGGTCTCACCCTGCAACCAGAGAATATTTTCAACTATGCCAAACATAGAATGTGAAACCAGCATGGAAAAAACTATATATTTTTACCACAGATTTAAAGCTCCTTCTTTGTTTCATGTCAATTGGCATGAACCAAGGGTGAACAAAGTACATTCTTGGGATCACAAAAACCCCCATATAACCCCCACCAGGCTGTGGTAACTACTATGTATGCAAAAATGGGGGCCCTGGCTCACTAAGTAAGATTTGTGACCTCCAAATGAAAGCCAGAGCTTGAGTCTAGTCAAACACCACAGAAACAAAATAGAGTGAGCTGAACATTTTATAAAACGATAAGTACAAGATGAAAAAACAGTGAATAGTTTAAATCTTTTATAAATGGAAGTCTGCAAAATCTTGAGGATTTCTTGTTCTTATTTTTTCTTGTTTTTATTTTTCATTGTCATCTTCTGTTTCCTGCATTGATGAATATAATAGCCCTCCATGTCCCTGCTCACTGGTCAGTGAACAGTAACCTGAGTGCAAATAGTTGTCAAAGGCATTTTTTTTAAAAAAAAAAAACTTCTGTGAGCCACTCCTCCTCCCTCCTGGTCTGATTGACCAGGAAGGCAGGCAGTGAAAGGGCCTACCATTGAAGAGGAAGCCCTGTCTCTTCACCAGCTTTGCACCGTTTTCATGGGACGTCCAAGCTGGGTTGAAGAAAGGGAAAAAATACTGTGGATCGACATTGAATAATAGAGATTTCCCTAGAAGCCGAGCTAACTAAACTGGAATTATCATAGTATTTATCATGAGAGAAAATATTAAGTAATGTGTAAGGCAGCAGGACAAGAAGAAGTCTGCATTCCAGTTGGAGAGACTCAATCGAGGGAGCAAAGTCCCTGACTCTGCAAGTCAGAAGCAGGGCTATTGATGATATAGTGACTTGGATCTCTTTCATTCATTGGTTTGCAATGTGATGGCAGTTAAAAACAACATTGATTAATACCATGCAAAAACTTACAAGATCTTTTTGATGTTTCTTGTTTAGTTGTGAAGTGTCTAACTTTTGCTAGACAGACATAAATCTTTGTGTCCAAAGAATCTCCCGACTGTCCAGCCATGTTGCTATAAATCTGGCACCCAACTTTTAATTAAAGATAGATGCTTTGGCTTTAAAAGTGCAGAGAAATGTGTGATGAAACAAAGAGCAAGAACTTATAACAATATACATCATAATAATAAAACATATTTGCATGAAAGTAAAAAAAGTAAAAAGCAAATCTAAACATTATTCTCATTCGCTAGTGGAGCTATAACATTGATGTACAACAAAAAACAAAATAATAAAATGTTATTAGTCTTTTAACACAAACATTTTAAAATAAGGTTTGACTGCTGTATTTATTCCATGTTATTCTATAGTGAGAGAGACAATTAAGACAGAAACACTCAGTTTTGGAGTAGGGCTTGAATATTTTCCAGTGCAGGTGTTGTCTTAATTTCAGAAAAATTTCATTAGCCCATCTGTAAAGTAGTGACATGTTCTTCAGTGGCTGTCTTCCAATCTTATGTCCTATATTTCATCCTGAAAGCAGGCTCTGTCCTCTGTGTTCAGCATAATGGTAGAGATCCATCATGTGTTTGCTAACCAAAGTTTTCTGAGCCACATTGTTTCCTCACTTGATATGGTCAGCCTTTAGGCCTCAATTTTTGTTTTCATGGGTCTGGGTCATAGAACATATAGTTTCATTCATTTCCTTCTGGTAGATTGTCCATTGGAATTGGTTGATCATAAAGTAAACAGGAGATTGAACTAAAGAGGTCTGTAGTGTTACTCTTCATTGATTCCCCCCTCCCTCTTTATATGTGTGTGTGTGTGTGTAAAAATTAGTCCAAAGAACTAGCACATGTGAGAGTACACAATTTATGCCAATCTTCACCCCATACCTCCTTCAGCCCACCACATAATTTCTCAATTGTTTGTCTAGGAATGTCCCAGCAATTTTCAGGACGTCATCTCATGAGGGTGTTATGTTCTGTTGTGCTAGAATACACATTGTAACATTTCTCAGGACTCATCACACATTGTTTCTTGCCTTTTCAGATTTATCACACAAGCGAGTGCTTGGGGGCATTTTTTTTTATTTTAGGGGATTTAATGGGGAAGTTCATCCTTCCAAGATCTCTTGAGTATTAATGGTCCACAGTTCCCATCCCAGCCTTAACACCTCACTGCTTTCCCCATCTTCTCAGTTGGCCAGAGTGAAAACTGGACAGGATTCATGTATATTTAATGGTTATGCAGAACAAGAAATTTCAACATACACTCCATGTTACCTGACTGGAAGGCAACTAACTCATCTTGAATTATAGCCCTTTACATAACCATAAAATGTATAGGAGAGCTCTCCAGTTTTCAGCCTGGCAATCCTAAGAGATTCCTATCATTTGAGGGTACTTTCACACTCCACAACTGTAGCACTGTATTCAACTTTAACTGCCATTATGGCATCCCATGGAATCTCAGGATTTGCAATCTTGTGAGGTACTAGATCTAGAAAATCCTAAATGGTAAATTCCAGGGTTCCACAGGATGTTGTCATGGAAACTATAGTAGAATCATAATATTATAATTATGTAATGCAGATGAATCCTGAGTTAGCTAACTTGTTCTGCTGATACCAGCAGTTTGAATCCACGGTACCCCCCTATGAGACCATCTGTGATCATTTAAGTGCACTCTGCATCAGTAACAGAAGGATGTCAAATTAAGATTAAAGTTGTTTCATTATTTTAGCACAGAGTTGTGATTTAACTTTGTGTAGCACACAGTTCCCTGTCAGTTTTTATTTTTAATTGGGGCCAATGAAGGGGGCAAGTGACAGTTTATCCTTATCAGACACCTGGACAACTTGATCTGGAAAATAGCATTATAGCTTTCCAGTTTTTCAACGCTACAGAAGGAAATTTCCTAGAACAACACATACACACACTATAGAAATGTGCAGTAGTAAACAAAGCAATTCATCACTTCATTTCTCATTCATTGTTACCACACACTTCATGCCAGTGAAAAGGATTTTTTTTCTTTATAATGTTGATCTTTCTCTTTTTTTCAAAAAAGGCAAATGTATCACTAATTAAAACTTTTCTTCAGTTTTCTTTAAGGCATGCTAAATTAATTAAACTGCCTGCCTTCAACCAGTTTTAATGAGATATATCTTTCTGGATCTCTGTATTTTTGTTTTAAGGAATGTTTAGTATATTAGTTAACTAATAATAACGGCTCAATGCTGTGTCACACTGTAGCTGCAGAATCAATATGGTTATTTATAAAATAGTCCCTAGAAATGGAAAACAAGATTAGTGGTGACGTCTCAGCAATGCAGCCTGTGGAAAAATGCTACTTGGGCCAGAGCAAAATGTGTAATCTCCTCTCTGCTATTTCCAGTCTGAGAGATATTCGGCCTGCAACTTATATGCAGCCCTAAGCTTATTAGTCAGGCCTACTTGTACTCATTTTGAATGTTCTCAGTAGCCATCTGAACATTGTCACCTCATGCTTTCCAGGGCGTCCAAATGTACTGGAAAAGAAACAGGGGACCTGCCTACCTGGTCAAAATAAATCGTGTTCATCTTGTAGCTGACTTGATCCAGACATGGGACCCCTTTAACAGTGAAAGCACTTCTTCAGGCTTTGTGCCAAAACTCACTTCTTGTTCCACAGTTGCAAGGAAAATCCAGTTTGTTGCTGTGTTTTGCTAAATGCATACAATCTAGATTGGGGTGGTTTTGGAGGAAGAGGATAGGACAAATCATTAGGTGGCAAGTGTTGCTCTTTTTTGTACAGGTCCAATGCTACTTGCTGGGATGTATGCTTTCTGACATTAAATATCTATTTACTTTTGCACTGGGAAGTGGTGGAGTGGGAGGGAGACAATAGCAAACAACTTCATTCAAAGAGATTTGCCATTGCCTTCCTCTATTTTTTTTTTTGTTAGGAAGCAATTAAGAGGGGGAAGGGAGATACCTAAGTACTCCCTTCTGATCAGGTCCACCACTGCCACTGCTTTCCTGGTGAGACAATATCCTGGCAGAGCTCTACTTGTTGTTTACTCAGAGTGAGGTGTCCAGTCCAGTGTCCTTCAGATTTGACAGTTGCCCGAAGTAGGGCATTTTTGAATGGAGTGCAAGGGCAAGTGACCTCTATGCCCCATTTCACACTTGTAAATAACTAGAAATATGCTGATCTTTTTTTTCAAGAAGTGAAAATAACCTGTTTTCCTCTTTTTGTTCCCCAAAGGAATTTTCTGATATTGAAAATACATTAATGAAAAAAAGAAAGTAAGTGTAAATCTTTAAGCTTTCACCTGTGTACTGTTCCTATTTTTTATCTTTTAACAGGTTTTTGCCAAAAGTTAGGCATCTTTTATCTGAAATTTCAAAATACTCAAAAATCCAAAATAATCCACATGGTTAGCTGAAATAGTGAGACCTTTGTTTTCCACCTGTTCGATGTACACAATTTTTTTTCATGTACCAAATTACTTGATATACTGTATAAGATTACCTTCAAGGTCAGCATATAAGATTTGTATGAAACATAAATGATTTTTGTGTTAAGACTTGAGTCCCATCTCTGAAATATCTCATTATGTATTCCAAAATCTCTCTCCCTCTCCTCTCTGTTAAATACTTCTGGCCCAAAACATTTGGGACAAAGGATACTTAACCTGTATTATCCGTGTACTGTACTTGTCCTATGAACGGAAGGCTGAAAGTATAGTCCGAATATAAAACACATGTAAACTTAATTCCTTCAATTTTATTCACCATTTTGTTTATAGTAGCAAGCATTTCTCTCTGCATAACTAAAGGAGAGACATCAAAAGTCAGATGTAGCTATTGACCATTAATCTGTGCTTGGTTTAACCATATGTGCATCTTTCTGAAAGACTGAAACGGTAACCTATTTCAGAACATGTTTGTACCATTGACCTGATAATCTTCTGGTAAGTTTTTCACCCCCCCCCCCTCTTTATCCCAATACAAATTAGTTTGCAAAATGATTGGGATTAACTCAGCCACAGTGCATTTTATCTTTCCCGTGACAGCAGTTTAGTTGCACTAAGATGCATGTGAGTCAATCTAGTGTTGATTGACCAGTAACATTCCCTTTTTTCAAGAGAGGAATTAGATCAAAAGAGTGTGATCAGTATTTTTTTGTGTGTGACACTTTTATAGAATCATAGAATCATAGAATCAAAGAGTTGGAAGAGACCATCCAGTCCAACCCCCTGCCAAGAAGCAGGAATATTGCTTTCAATTTTGTCTTTTTCTACTCTATTCTTGTTCTGAAATGTGATCCAGTGGATGATCAAAAGCAGATCATGACCTAATTGTAACCATAGTTCCAACTAGAATAAAGCAATTTAATCAATCATATTTATATATGTGTTGCCTTACCATTCAACAGTTAGTTCAGTGGGGCAACTCAGGCTAGGATTAACCAACAGGATTTATGTCACTCTCTGTTTATTATTCATTTACTACGTTTCTGGTCCACTTTTCTTTCATAAGACACCCAAAGTGTCTCAAACCCTATATTAATATAATACAACTGAAAAAAATCCAAAATGTTATCATTAAGAAAGCATTAAATAGAAATCTCTTAAAACATTTGTTTAAAACAATTAAAAGCACTTTTTTTGCATGTCAGGAGCAACTTGAAAAACTGCAAGTTGCTTCTGGTGAGAGAGAATTGGCTTTCTGCAGGGACATTGCCCAGGGGACACCCGGATGTTTGTTGATGTTTTACCATCTTTGTGGGAGGCTTCTCTCATGTCCCCAGATTTGAGAGCTGGAGCTGACAGAGGGAGCTCACCCACACTCTTCCCGGATTCGAACCTGTGACCTGTCGGTGTTCAGTTCTGCCAGTACAAGGGTTTAACCCATTGCTCCACCGGGGGCGAACTCCCCCAACCAGTTAAAAACTGAAGGCCTGTTTAAATAAGATAATTTTGGCTTACTGATCAATCCTCCCTTGATAAAGAGTTCCACAGCCTGAGAGCAGCTACTGAGAAGGCTGTCCCCCAGGTCTTTCCCAGATGTACCCGTGAAGGTGGTAAGACAAAGAGAAAGACCCCCAACTGAATTCTAACAAAGGAAGCAGACAGGACATCTAATCAATAGCACTGGCATCATGGGCATTGGAGAAAAGTCCATGGAATGCTTCAACAAGGGATTAGATTGTTTATACAGAAACACAGAAGAAAAATAGAGCTATTGCTCCCATAGAATCCTAAAACGAGCATTCCGTTTCACTACTGCTGACACCATCTTGTGCTGGTAGGAAAAATCATCTCAAAGAAGTGAGAGAGATTTTGATGGATACAGAAAGGTCATCCTCACCTCATATAGTGGAGTGCATTTTCAGCAATCAAAATCCTTTGGATTTGTACATTTAATAATTGACTTCGATGACCATGCACTCATCACATATCATGAATAATGTAAGTCAATTATTTGTGAATGATGTAGAACCTAAATGAGCCCCCTTCCCTCTGCGCACAACTATTTGGTAAATGCTTAGCAATGAATAATAGATGGGAAGAAAATTAGACTCTTGCTGAAAATAATTCACTCATCCAAAGTAAGGTCAGCTTTACAACAATGAGCTTTGGCGTACCAAAGCAAATTTTGCTATGCGTTTTTCTAAGGAAGGGCTTATTTTCTCACAAAGTTCTGTGATGGTAAGAGAATGTACAAGTGCCATTTAAAGATAGCATTTGAAAATCCTTGTTCAGTCTTTGGAAGAATAAGGAACAAATTATTATTAATGGATTATACTCTGCATTCCTTTATCTTTTCCTAGATCCATCCAGAAGTCAATGTCAGAAAGTGAAGCATTTGGTTAGTAATTTAAATTATGATTCATTTTGGCTATTGTAAGGTTTCTTATCATGCAAATATAAATATAATAGATCATGAGTTCTTCGGGGGGGGGGAAGCAAAACCAATAATTATGAAAACATCTCATATTTCATGGAAGATAATACTTTTTGCACTGATTAGAATAAATTATAAATTTTCTTTGTTGGTTTATCCATTTATATGATGTTTACTTTCTTTTTGTTAAAATAGCCATTTTCTCTGGTTTTCCCAAGCTACAGACTGAATATAAGCAGTTTTCTGTTATGAAATTTCTGGAACTCTTGATAAAAGTTAATTGTTTCAACATTTTGCGGTGGTAGTCAAAATATCCTAATCTGAACAATTCATTTTTTTAAAAATAAAATAACTATTTCTATCTATGCCAAATTGTATTGTATAACTGATTTATCCATAATTTTATATATATATATATATATATATATATATATATATATATATATATATATAGTTTTGGTTGAATATGAAAATAAACAAAAACATACCAATCCATCATAAAGAGCTTATCGACCTCTCAGTAGATTTTACAATTCAGCGGCATTTGCATTCATTTATATTCACAGATACAATGATAGTGGGTAGCATTTACATTAGTGATGTCTTCCAAAGGTACAATTAGGATGTACACATTTCATTATACTGTGTTGGTTTATATATATATATTATAGTCATAATGTCTCAAAACCAATTTCTGTTATGTTTCTAAAAACCAATAATAACAAAAACAGCAACAGCAACAGCAACAACTTTATTCTTGTATCCCGCCACCATCTCCCCAAAGGGCCTTGGGGTGGCATACACATGGTACAAGATGCCCAAAAACAGAACATAAAATAAAACACAATATAAAAATACAACTGAATAAAACATATAGGCATATAAAATACCAACTTAAGACTCAGTTTAAAACAACACTCATCAACCAATGGCAGTAAACTTCTGTAAACGTGGCCAAGCATTTAATACAATGCAAAAAAAAAAAACCCAAATAAACCTAAATCAAACTTTACAATTGTTTATAAGAAGATTCCAAAAACTATCATTTTGACTCCACAATAGAGATGAAGCCATATTTCTACAAGTGTGGTTCTATTTCCAGTAGAGAGCTTGATGTTTCCATGTGATATACTTAACACAAACCAATGGATAATTCACCTCACAGAATTCCCTGGGGATGTTCAAGTTGACATGTGGTCAATGGGAGTGAACTGCATCCTAGCTTCTAGCCCAGACCAAGTCAGTATTTAAATATGTTTGCCAGTTTTACAGATTTAGCGTATAAGGTAGGGCACCCCTTTCTAGGTCAGATGCTCCCATATCAGTTCCTAACCAATTACTCATAGGAAATAAGGCACACAAGTCTTTGCAAGCAGATCATAAAAATGTGCATAAATCTCATTCAACTTGTGGCTGATGGCTTCCATCTGTGGCCCCTTCTACATGTCATATAATCCAGATTATCAAATCAGATAATTCACATTATCTGCTTTGAACTGGATTATATGAGTGTACACTACCATATAATCCAGTTCAAAGCAGATAATCTGGATTTTATATTGCAGTGTAGAAGGGGCCTGTGTGGATTTTAGGTTTTGAACTTTAATGGAGTTGTCCAGGGTAATGAGACTATTAGAGGGACAAGTTCCAATATTTTGCTTGGCTCCTTTAAAGTTTACACTAAACTCAAACTGGATTCACTATTTCATTGAGATAGAAACCAACAGGTTGGCACTGCATTTCACCCCTCTATCCTATGTACATGTTTTAAATATTCAGTAGAATTGTTTATGTATTATTTATGCAACAGGATGATTTGCTAGTAGGCCTCAACATTTCCAGTTTATCCTTTTTGCCTGACCTCCCACCTTCCATGCAAGACAACAACAAATCCAAAATACAGTGCCAGATACAGTCAGATTTGGTATAGTGTCCTGGTCAAGCAGGCTCCTAAATCATATAAATTTCTAATCATGTGTAGGACAGATTCCTGCAAACTGCTTTACTGGGTATCACCTGCATGAGAGATGGAGGTCCATTCTTTTTAAATACATTTTTTCACATATTGGTGGTGGTGTACAAGCATGGTGTAGAGCCACGTTAGACCCCTTGGAATGCACAAATACCCCATAGTCAAAATGTATTTGCAATAGAAATCTGAGTATTGGGCTGTAACTATTGTGCTAGTTGGTCAAAACATTTTTCTACTCTGAAAGCTTTCTCGAGGAAATTACCCATTCAAATTGGTTGATATGCATTCCCAATGCTAATTATGTAAAGTTTTCAGTTTCTTCCCTAATTGGATATGAATGCAGAAAACTGAATTTCTATGCTTCACGTTTAGATAGAAAAAATGTGAATGGCACATTTGGGCAGATTCCCAAGAAGCAGGAAAATGATTTGTACCTCGGAAGGCACTGTCAGTCTGAAGGTAATTGCAAAATGCATTTCAGCTGATTTTGCATTTTCCACAAAACATTTTAAAGGGCATCGAGGAAAACAGTGAAATAATTTGTCAAGGCCTCTTGTGGGGAGGGTTGACTCTTCCCCAAGGGAGAAATAGGCACTTTAAATAAAAAGGAAAGTTGAAGTAAGGAATTGCAGTGCTTGTATTAAATGCTCCCTGTAGCTTATAGATCAGTAGAAGACTCATGTGTGGCTGCTGGGTTATTGAGCCATAATGGTCGATTAGTATGGTGCTGTCTGTCATATATTGGCAACACAGCAGATGTTAGGTGAAGGCATAGAGAGACTGTTTTTTAAGAGGAACATTCCAGTAGATAAAAGGAAAAATCCACCATAGTGCTGAGCATTTCTGTCACTCTAGATGAAAGTCTCAATAATACCCTTTAGCCTTGCTTCTGGTTTTGCATTTTTGGGAACTAATCACATCACCATCTTTATAGGTAAACACATGCCTCTTTCATTGCTTTGTAAGGGGAAAATAACCTAAAACCACATAAAACAGGACTGGGAATAATGTTTCCTCCAGGTCTTGTACCACTGCAGTTCTCCACATCCTTAACCACTCACCATGCTGAGTTGTAGTTCAACAACATCTGGATAAAACTGACCCATGGAATTAATTTCTAGCTTGGCTCATAAGTTGTGTGTAAGTTCCAGGGAAACTTTATTAGAGATGAATGTTGTTTCTGTTCCTATAAATCTCTTATGACCAGTACAACCAGAGATATGTCGATATGCCATTGGAAGATGGGACTCCCAGGTCGGAAGATGGCCAAAATGCTACTGGGGAGGAGCAGAGGATAAGTTCAACTAGCCCCAGATGTGATGACGCAGCTAGCTCAAAGCCGAAAGGAAGGCTAGCGGCCGACGGTACTGGAGGTGAACGACGAATCCGATGCTCTAAAGATCAACACACCATCGGAACCTGGAATGTAAGATCTATGAGCCAGGGCAAATTGGATGTTGTTATTGGCGAGATGTCAAGACTAAAGATAGACATTCTGGGGGTCAGCGAACTGAAATGGACTGGAATGGGCCACTTCACATCAGATGACCACCAGATCTACTACTGCGGACAAGAGGAACATCGAAGAAATGGAGTAGCCTTCATAATTAATAAGAATTCGCTAAAGCGGTGCTTGGATACAACCCAAAAAATGACAGAATGATCTCAATTCGAGTGCAAGGAAAGCTTTCAACATTACAGTGATCCAAATATACGCCCCAACCACAGCTGCTGAAGAAGCAGAAGTAGATCAGTTCTATGAGGATCTGCAGGACCTACTGGATAATACACCAACAAGAGACATTATTTTCATTACAGGAGACTGGAATGCCAAGGTGGGAAGTCAAATGACAACTGGGATCACAGGCAAGCATGGTCTGGGAGAACAAAATGAAGCGGGACGCAGGCTGATAGAATTTTGCCAGGAAAACTCGCTGTGTATAACGAACTCTCTTCCAACAACCTAAAAGACGGCTTTATACATGGACTTCACCAGATGGTCAACACCGAAATCAGATTGACTACATCCTTTGCAGCCAAAGGTGGCGGACATCCATCCAGTCGGTGAAAATAAGACCTGGGGCTGACTGTAGCTCAGATCACGAACTTCTTATTGCCCAATTTAGAATAAAACTAAAGAGATCAGGGAAAATACACAGACCAGTTAGATATGATCTCACTAACATTCCTAGCGAATATACAGTGGAAGTGAAGAACAGATTTGAAGGACTAGATTTAGTAAACAGAGTCCCAGAGGAACTATGGACAGAAGTCCGCGACATTGTTCAGGAGACGGCAACAAAGTACGTTCCAAAGAAAAAGAAAACCAAGAAGGCAAAATGGTTGTCTGCTGAGACACTGGAAGTAGCCCAAGAAAGGAGGAAAGCAAAAGGAAACAGTGATAAGGGGAGATATGCCCAGTTAAATGCGCAATTCCAGAGGTTAGCCAGAAGAGATAAGGAACTATTTTTAAATAAGCAATGCATGGAAGTGGAAGAAGACAACAGAATAGGAAGGACAAGAGACCTCTTCCAGAAAATTAGAAACATTGGAGGTAAATTTCAGGCAAAAATTGGCATGATAAGAAACAAAGATGGCAGGGACCTAACAGAAGCTGAAGAGATCAAGAGAAGGTGGCGAGACTATACAGAAGATCTGTATAGGAAGGATAATAATATCGAGGATAGCTTTGACAGTGTGGTGAATGAATTAGAACCAGACATCCTGAGGAGTGAGGTTGAATGGGCCTTAAGAAGCATTGCTAACAACAAGGCAGCAGGAGATGACGGGATCCCAGCTGAACTGTTTAAAATCTTAAAAGATGATGCTGTCAAGGTGATGCATGCCATTTGCCAGCTAATATGGAAAACACAAGAATGGCCATCAGACTGGAAAAAATCAACTTATATCCCCATACCAAAAAAGGGAAATGCGAAAGACTGCTCAAACTTCCGTACAGTGGCCCTTATTTCTCATGCCAGTAAGGTAATGCTCAAGATCCTGCAAGGAAGACTCCAGCAATACATGGAGCGAGAGTTGCCAGATGTTCAAGCTGGGTTTAGAAAAGGCAGAGGAACGAGAGACCAGATTGCCAATATCCGCTTGATAATGGAGAAAGGCAGGGAGTTTCAGAAAAACATCTACTTCTGCTTCATTGACTATTCTAAAGCCTTTGACTGTGTGGATCATAATAAATTGTGGCAAGTTCTTAGTGGGATGGGCATCCCAAGCCACCTTGTCTCTCTCCTGAGGAATCTGTACAAGGACCAAGTAGCAACAGTCAGAACTGACTACGGAACAACAGACTGGTTCAAGATTGGGAAAGGCGTACGGCAAGGCTGCATCCTCTCACCCAACCTTTTTAACTTGTATGCAGAACACATCATGCGATGTGCGGGGCTGGATGAATGCAAAGCTGGGGTGAAAATTGCTGGAAGAAACATTAACAACCTCAGATATGCAGATGAGACCACTCTGATGGCCGAAAGCGAGGAGGAGCTGAGGAGCCTTCTAATCAAGGTGAAAGAAGAAAGCGCAAAAGCCGGGTTGCAGCTAAACGTCAAAAAAACCAAGATTATGGCAACAAGAATGATTGACAACTGGAAAATAGAGGGAGAACTGTGGAGGCCGTGACAGACTTTGTATTTCTAGGTGCAAAGATTACTGCAGATGCAGACTGTGGCCAGGAAATCAGAAAACGCTTACTTCTTGGGAGGAGAGCAATGTCCAGTCTCGATAAAATAGTAAAGAGTAGAGACATCAGACTGGCAACAAAGATCCGCCTAGTCAAAGCCATGGTATTCCCTGTAGTAACCTACGGATGTGAGAGCTGGACCTTAGGGAAGGCTGAGCGAAGGAAGATCGATGCTTTTGAGCTGTGGTGTTGGAGGAAAGTTCTGAGAGTGCCTTGGACTGCGAGAAGAGCCAACCAGTCCATCCTCCAGTCCATCCTCCAGGAAATAAAGCCCGGCTGCTCACTGGAGGGAAGGATACTAGAGACAAAGTTGAAGTACTTTGGCCACATCATGAGGAGACAGCAAAGCCTAGAGAAGACAATTATGCTGGGGAAAGTGGAAGGAAAAAGGAAGAGGGGCCGACCAAGGGCAAGATGGATGGGTGGCATCCTTGAAGTGACTGGACTGACCTTGAGGGAGCTGGGGGTGGTAACGGCCGACAGGGAGCTCTGGCGTGGGCTGGTCCATGAGGTCACAAAGAGTCGGAGACGACTGAACGAATGAACAACAACACACTCCTTTCAGGCTTCCTTCCATCTTTTTTAAAAAAACTTTTACTGAGATCTAAAGGAACATTTTGGAGTTACCACAGTCTATCAGAAAGACAAATAAATGACTGAAAATTAGGCATGGATACTCCCTAGAAGTCAAAATTACCACACTAAAGCTATCATACTTTGGCTGTATCATGAGATGACATGTAAGAAAATGTGGTCAAGCTTTCTAAAGTGGAAGGCAGTAAGAAAAGAGGAAGAATATCCTGCAGGTTGAAAGATTCTTTCAAGGAAGTCAAGCTTGGCCTTGACTTTGTAAAGCCTTTGCAGAGCTGCTGGTGAGTGGGTGTCTTGGAGGACTCTTGTGCATAGGGTTTTCATAAGTCAAAACCAAGTTGACAATAATTTAAAGCAACAGAAAGAGAGCCAATATGAAACACAAGCCCTCTCCTTGTGGGCACAACCAAGTAGCTTGAAAAAAAAACCCAGTTGATTTTTTATGATATTTCCCAAAATCTAGCTTATGTAGTTTAGGTGAGGCAGTTGACAAAAGATCATGGCAAGTCTTGTTTCATAATGCAACAAAAAATCCTAATTACTTTGAACACACTGGGAAGTGGAGCAAGCTCCCCCTTTTCTCCCTTTTCCTTCCTTGGCCTTCTTTTTCAAAGACAATTGGTGTGAGGATTAAGTGCCTGACCCCACAGAACACTAGATCCTGATGAATGAAACCTTAAACCATAAGCTTAACATTAAGCCCCCTAAAGCCATCGATTTTAAATAGGCTATTCAAGAGCTTATTTTTAGCTTTCAACATTTCCTTAACTATTTCATTGCCCATGGAACACAGGAAAAGAAGTCTGTTCTGCTCTTGACTGGAGTATTGGTAGACGAAGTTGCAGCACCACTTGTTGGGTGGAAGGGGTTGAAGAATCATCCACACAAGCCCCAATCTCCAGCAGAATGGACCTTCTCTCAGAGCAGCTGATGCCCAGTAAAGTAGGTTGCAAGGATCTGGCTGGGGTGTGTTACTTAGTTACACAAATGTAATTAAGGGTGTATTAAACTGTAGAATTAATGCAATTTGACACTGCTTTACCTGCCATGGCTTAATGTTATGGAAAACTGGAATATATAGTTAGTGAGGCACTAGCAGTCTTTGCCAAAAAGGGCTAAAGGACTTGTGAAACTACAACTCCCATGATTCCATGGCATTGAGCCATAGTATTTAAAATGGTGTAAAACTGCATTAATTCTACAGTGTAGATTTACTCTAAGAAATCATGTCAAATATCAGACCTATTGTTTTAATGTTTAAAACAATCTGGTTTAATCATGACAGTAATAATAATCCATGTTCTTCATTATTGTACAGAAATAAATGAAGATATTGTCATTGGTGAAAGGTTCCATTTGCTACAAGAAACAAGAATAGAAGAAACAACATGTCAGGTAATTTTGACTGTAATCCTTGAAAGTTTAAAGTAATATATTTCTTCATTGTTGAAATGCCACAAGGCTTCATGTGGCTGCTACAGCAGACCAACATGGCTACTTCTGGTGCATTGAAACCGTAGTCCAAGTAGGGCAGTAGCACCATGTGTCTTAGGGCCCATCCAGACAGTACCTTTATCCCAGAAGCTTCAGCAAACAGGAGGGTGATCAGAAGCCATTCCAATCAAACATAGAAGCAATAGCTACATAAGGCAAAACCCACATGTTTTCCAGGTGCAGGAATATCACAGTTTTGAGCTGAATAGCCTCATCTTTGAATGTCTATATGTCCCTGCAATCGAAAATCACAGGATTTTTTTTAAATCTAGGTTTGTTCCTGAGTATTAGATGTTTGTTCCTGATTGGTTGGTTCCCAAAAAGGTGACACTTGAGTAGAAGGCAAAACTTTTTTGTGTGCCAGAAACTTCATGAAACATATGGAGGGCACAGTTTTATTGGCCAAGACAAAGAATTGAACTTTTGCAATGATCCTCGTATCCAGATCTCCACCTATCTGCATATACGCACCTCAGGGATTTTTAAAAAAACCTGCCAAGGTTTCTGGCAGAAGTCCTATGGTGGCCATCTTGGGAGCCTCTAAATCTTGCAGCAAAACATCAAGTCTGAAAGAAATTCCAGGAAGAAATTCAGGAACCAACAGATCTGTATGTGGACCTCTTCTGATGTCCTGGGATTTTTTGCCCCTGTTTAACACCCGTGATTTAGTGCTGTCTGGAAGTGCCCCCAGATTCATAGATTGAGATGTTCATATAACTTTCCATTTTATGAGTTGGCTGTTATTTCCATTATCATTATGCTAGAAGACTTCACAAAATTATATCAGTTTTACACTGTTTGAATACCATAGTTCCATCCTACATTACCTTGGAGTGTGGAGTTTGGTGTTGCTGGCAAACTCTTGTGCTGTAATACAGAATCCTAATTGTTTCACCCAGGTAGGATTCTGTAGGAAGGAGCCATGGCCATTAAACTACTATGCAGTGTACCTACATTTTTCACAAGAGAAATGGATCAGTAAGAAGATTGCATTGTTGTCGTTTACCTATGTTCTGGAGACAAGTAATGTTCCCAAAGCCAGAAGTCCACTTAAAATGGGGATAGGACAGAGACATATGCATCAAATTGTACTGAGAAATGTAGTGGGCTATTCCTGGATGCACAGAACTAACACTGTACTTCTAGCACCCCATTCTGAGTCAGTCAATAGCATTCTTGGTTTGTGAGGAAGCTAAGTTACCCATTACCACTGCAAAAATAGAAGATGGAGTACTATTTGCATAAGACTGTTTCAGAAGTTTCCTTCCATGCACTCTGAAAATGTACTACTGCTTGCACAACCAGTGCTAGTGTGCATGTGCTGCCACCACTGGATGCTAATCATTTTGTATTTTGCAAAGCATCTTAAATATTTTATCTTTTTTAATTAACTTGTTCTTATTTAGCAAGATACCACTTTTCTTCTGTGTGACCACATGCACTGAATACTTTGTAGCTCTCTCTCTCTCTCTCTCTCTCTCTCTCTCTCTCTCTCTCTTATATATATATATATATATATATATATATATATATATATTGTGTGTGTGTGCCATTGAATTAGGATGTTGGGAATCTATCTGACACAAGCCTGTATTAAGTGCTCTAATCAATATAGAAACTTCAGCTTTGGCATATGTGTCCAGAATACTTCTCAATTTTATAAACATATACGATGTCTCCAGGCAGTCCTCTACAGAAGACTACATTAATTAACCCACTAACATGAGCAATTAAGGAAGCCTGACCTTTGGGCCTGTGCATAATAATATAAAAGTAATTAATGATTCATCAGTTGCTGAATATCCAGGAATAGGAAGACACAGCAGAAATAGGTGTTGCTAATGACGCTGTGGTTATTGATGACTCTGAAATCAGTGGCAGGATTTTTTTAAAAATGAAGATGATGTTCCTCTTCCTCATCAATGTTTGTCTTTTCTTAAGCCAAGAGTTGGTCTGTTATATATTGCCTTAACAATATTGGAAGTGAAGATTTCCTTCATTGAATAATTCCTTTGTGATATTTAGGAGGGTCCCTGGTCAAACTTTTGGAGCCATCTCTTTCCCATATCATAGTCATAGAATTATAGAGTTGGAAGAGGCCACAAGGAACATCGAGTTCAACCCTACCATGCAGGGACATACAATCAAGGTGCTTCTGACAGATAGCAACCTAACATCTGTTTGAAAACATGTCAGTCCTCAGTAATGATGGCTCTTCCTCCTTAGGACTCCTGGCTGCTCATTTGCCATAAGAAATAGTGGGTCTCCTGTCAGGACTAGTAGCTTCTCTTTTTTCCTGCTACTACCATTCCTCTGCTGTGCGACTCTTTGGACAAGAAGGAAAGGGTGGATGAATGAACAAGTGTAAACAATGACAAGTGGTTCCAGGCTGCTTTGTGCAGTAGACTCCTTCAAATTTAGGGGCTGTGCACAGGCAGGAAGTACTCAACCATGGTCACACCTTTCATTCTCTCACTTCGATCCCTGAACTACAAAATTTGCTGCAAAATGTTTTATGGTTTGTATTTATATTGGAATATTTGAAATTGCAAAAGACCACGTGTGATGCTGTAGTTTACTCTGGGAAACTAGGGTTCAAGTCCCTGGCCAGCCATAGAAATCCACTGAGTGACCTCATATAAATCATACTCTTTCAGTCTCAGAGGAAGGCAATGGGAAACTTCCTTTGATTAAAGCAAAATGCAGATAGCAACAAAGGTAAAATAACTCCAAAAGTGACTACACTTTGCTGTATATTGTACAGTGGGGCCATTTGACCTCCTCGTGGATACCAAAGTCCTATTATGTACTATGGATTAATAAGATAGTATGCCTTATATAAAATGACAACTCAATTGAGTGCCAGAAAGTGAATGAGAATGTCGCAACACAGACGCCTTAAAGAGCCACACACAGTAAAAGTTCCAAAGTAAAATTTATTGCAGCACAAATAAAAGCTCAGAAAACACTTAACTTCAGTGCTTCTGCCCCAAAAACTCAAAAGTAACCAACTTGTTTAAAAAAGGAGCAAAACAGAATATAATCCAGATTAACCAGAAAAAAACCCGGATTAAAATGCAGTACTCAAGCAGCGAGCAAACAATGCAGCACACAAACAGTTAACAGCAAGCAGGAAGTGCCAAGTGTGTAAACAAAGCCAGTCAAAGTCCAGGAGCCAAAGTAGAAGTGGTTTTCAAAAGCGTCGTCACAAAGTCCGTCAAACTGCCGCCGCGGCTTCCAAATAATCCAAAATTCAGGAAGGGAGAAGTCCACACTCACGAGAAGTCAGTCCAAGTAGAATCACAAAGGAACTCCAGGCTGCAGAACCCGGACCCAAGGCCAACAGGAAAACAGGTAGAGACAAACCCACAGGATACACGTACGTAGTCGACACTTTGCCTTATGCAAAGGTCTCCCATTTCAGAGCCCACTTATATCTTTATTATCTATACATCATCATCCGAAGATGAACTAGCCTCCGCCCTGTCATTAGTTCTTACAGCTGTTCTTGTCTTCACATGTGAACCTGTGTTACCATTCCTCCAGTTCCTCCATCTTCTGTCAAGACTTAGATCTCCCCAAGACTCAGACGTGTTACCTGTTTGCCAATCTTCATTACCAGAGAAACCCATGAACGTGTCACTAGACGTTGGCTCTGCACACACATCTTGCACCTCCTTAACCTTTGTCCAGTTTAGTGTGTCCTCCTCCTCCTGATCACTCCCAGACCCATCACTTCCCAAGAAACCCATAAATGATTCTTCATCTGTGGGAGCATTAAGTATTAGGCCTGGGTAACAACAGAAAAATTTGTTTCTAAAATCAATTCGTTTTTTGGGGGTTTTTGCGTTTCGATATTTAAAAGAATTCCGAAATTTTTCTTTTAAAAAGTTCGATATTTACGAAATTTCGTAAATGTAAAAAAAATTATGAAACATTAATGAAACAAATACGAAACAATAACGAATCGATTCATTAATGGCGGACGCGACCGCGCATTATGCTAAAAAACCTCCAAATGGGACAGGGGGAACTTCTGAAGCTTCCCTCTCCCTCTGTTGTTGACTGTTGGTGTGATATTATAATTTTTTTCACTAATTAAACAAAAAACAACTATAAAACTTGCCCCAGACATGCGGAAATAATAACGAAACGACCTCGAACCGATAACGAAACGAATACATAACGAATCCGAAGCATTTACTAAACGAATTTAAAAATTCGTTTCATTTTTAAGTTGCTCCAGAATGGTTTGTTATCGCTTCGTTATAAAAAAAACGAATTTTTAACAAATTATGAATTAACGAAATGAAACCGCCCAGCCCTATTAAGTATATCACGGATCCTCTTCCTTTTACACTTCTCATCCGATTCCTGCTCCCGAGTAGACCTTTTCAAACCTCTATTCCCATCCACAGTATCTCCTTCCTCCCCCTCATTCATTGACCCTTCGTCACCAGAAAACTCGAACGTGTCTTCAGCAGTAGGATCCATAAGTATCTCCCAGATCCTCTTCCTTTGTTGTTCTTCATCAGACTCCCTTCTGACCCTCTTACTACCGCTTGCAACATTACTTACAGGCTCCACTACAATAGAGAATATTTATTTATTTATTTATTTATTTACCTTACTTATATACCGCTGTTCTCAGCCCGAAGGCGACTCACAGCGGTTTACAACAAATACGAACAGCAAAAATTCAGTGCTACAGTATAGAAACAGTTAACAACCTAACACATTACACAATTAATAAACAGTTACTACAATACCCATTCACTGTCGTCTCGTCATCAAAAACATGTTCCAGATTCGTCATCCATTGTTCCATTCCAGTGTTCATTAACCAATCATTGCACTAATTATTGGAACGCCTGCTCAAACAGCCAGGTCTTCACTTTTTTGCGGAATACCATTAGAGATGGTGTTAGTCTAATGTCCGTAGGAAGGGCGTTCCACAGCCAAGGAGCCACCACCGAGAAGGCCCTATCTCTCGTCCCCGCCAGTCGAGCTTGAGAAGCAGGCGGGATCGAGAGCAGGGTCTCCCCGGAAGATCTCAAAGTCCTGGTGGGTTCATAGGCAGAGATGCGGTCGGATAGGTAGCTTGGGCCGGAACCGTTTAGGGCTTTAAAGGCCAATGCCAGCACTTTGAATTCAGCCCGGTAGCAGATCGGTAGCCAGTGGAGTTGGCGCAACAGGGGGGTTGTATGCTCCCTGCGCTCCGAGCGTGGACTACCGTGGCCAAGTCAGACTTCCCAAGGTACGGGCGCAGCTGGCGCACAAGCTTTAGCTGTGCAAATGCTCCCCTGGTCACCGCCGAAACCTGGGGTTCCAGGCTCAGCGATGAGTCCAGGGTCACACCCAAGCTGCGAACCTGCGTCTTCAGGGGGAGTGCAGGCCCATCCAACACAGGCTGTAACCCTATGCCCTGTTCGGCTGTAACCCTATGCCCTGACCAGGAGTACCTCTGTCTTGTCTGGATTCAATTTCAATTTGTTCGCCCTCATCCAGACCGTCACAGCGGCCAAGCACCGGTTCAGGACCTGGACAGCCTCCTTAGTAGCAGGTGGAAAGGAGTGACAGAGTTGGACATCATCCGCGTACAGATGACACCGTACCCTGAAACTCCGGATGATCTCCCCCAGCGGCTTCATGTAGATGTTAAACAACATGGGAGACAATATTGAGCCCTGAGGAACCCCACAAGACAATGGTTGTGGGGTTGAACAGGTGTCCCCCAACAACACCTTCTGAGCTCGACCCTCCAGGAATGACCGGAGCCACTGCAAAACAGTACCTCCAAGACCCATCCCCGCGAGGCGTCCCAGAAGGATACCGTGGTCGACGGTATCGAAGGCCGCTGAGAGGTCCAGCAGCACCAACAGGGACACACTCCCCCTGTCGAGCTCCCGGTGCAGATCATCCACTAAGGCGACCAAGGCTGTCTCGGTACCATGTCCCGGCCTAAAGCCAGACTGTGCCGGGTCTAGATAATCCGTATCTACCAAGAATACCTGGAGTTGTGAGGCCACCACACGTTCCAAGACTTTGCCCAAGAAGGGGAGATTGGAAACTGGCCGATAGTTGTCGAATTTAGTGGGGTCCAGTGATGGTTTCTTCAACAGCAGTTTTATTATAGCTTGTTTTAAGCTCGCTGGAATCTTGCCTTCCCGAAGGGAAGCATTAACCACCACCTTAACCCACTCAGCCAATCCCCCTCTGGCCTCCTTTAGAAGCCAGGGTGGGCAGGGGTCCAGGATGCATGTGGTTGGCCTCATTCCTCCAAGTATCTTGTCCACATCCTCGGGTTTCACCAATTGAAATGAATCCATCAAAACTGGACAAGCAGGTGCTCGTGTTACATCCTCAGAGACTGCCATTAACATGGTATCCAGACCAGAACGGATCAAAGCGACTTTGTCTGCAAAGAACTGAGCAAAAGCTTCACAGCGAGAAGTCGAATCGTCAGGGTTCCCACCTTGAGTGGTGGGATTTAAAAGGCCTCTGACAATTCGGAACAGCTCAGCCGGACGGTTCTTTGCAGACGCAATAGTGGCCGCAAAGAAGGCCTTCTTTGCGGCTTTTATTGCCGCGGCATATGCCCTTAAAAAGGACACAAACCGTGTTCGATTTGGCTCACTTGGATCCGAACGCCACACACTCTCTAGTTCCCTCTTCCTTCGCTTCATCGCTGCCAGCTCCTCGGTGAACCAGGGAGCTGGTTTAGCTCGGCTACTTGAGAGGGGACGTTCCGGAGCAATCGTGTCAATTGCCCTAGTCATCTCCCCATTCCAGAGAGTGACCAGGGCCTCGACAGGATCACCTACCGAGGTGGCGGGAAACTCCCCAAGAGCCATCAGGAATCCATCCGGATCCATAAGCCTCCTGGGGCGGACCAACTTAATGGGTCCTCCACCTCTGCAGAGGTTAGGGGGCGCAGTGAGCCTAAATCTGACCAGGAAGTGGTCGGTCCATGGCAACAGAGAGATGGTCAGCTCCTCGACCCCGCCACCTTCCTCCCATCCCTGGCAGAAAACCAAGTCCAATGTATGTCCTGCACTATGAGTGGGGCCAGATACTTGCTGGGACAGCCCCATGGTTGCCATGGCAGACATGAAGTCCTGAGCCGCTCCTGAAAGGGCCGCCTCGGCATGGACATTGAAGTCCCCCAGCACAAGGAGCCGCTGGGATTCCAATGCCACGCCTGAGACCACCCCCGCTAGCTCAGGTAAGGAGACTGTAGTGCAGCGAGGTGGGCGGTACACTAACAGAATCCCTATTCTGTCCCGGTCACCCAACCTCAAGTGGACGCATTCAAAATTTGTTGACTGTGGGATGGGGCCCCTGGTCAGAGGGATGAAATCTCTATAGACCACTGCGACCCCGCCTCCCCGCCCTCCGGATCTCGGCTGAGCTGCACGGAAAAACCTGGTGGGCAAAGCTGGGTCAAATTCACGCCTCCCGCTTCGTCCAACCAGGTCTCCGTAATGCACGCCAGATCTGCCCGCTCATCCAGGATTAAGTCTTGGATGAAAGTTGTTTTTCCATTGACAGATCTGGTGTTCAACAGCACCACCTTCAATCCAGAGGGACCGCCATCCTGGTTACACCAGCTTACCATATCAGGAGACCGGTTTGGAATTACTAATGTTGTTACACGATCCCTAGGCCGAATTAATGGTCTCCTTTTCCCGCATCTCCCCTTTCCCACCACCACTTCTATGAGAGCCCCTCGGCTGGCGCAACACCCCTCCTCCTCCATGCCGCATTCCATATCCAGAACCTCGTTAGACTAAGATATATGTATTTCATTGTTGGCTATTTGCTTTGTTGGGATCTCAACTTGCCATGGTCTTCTGTTCCCTTTATCTCCCCCCACCCCTGTCCTATCATTTCCCAAGATCTCCAGCTCGCTTTGTCCCTTGCCCCTTTCACAATTAACTAACAATAAGAATAGTAAATTCTAAGACAAGATGGAAGTGTCTTCTGTTCCCTTATGTCTTTGCTCTGGCTAGAGCAGCCCTTGGAGCCAGAAGGGGGGAGGGGCCTCTCAAGTGATGATATAGGCAGAAGACAAGATGGAAGTCTCTTCTGTGCCCTTCTGTCTTTGCTCTGGCTAGAGCAGCCCTTGGAGCCAGAAGGGGGCGAGGCCTCTAAGTGATGATATAGGCAGAAGACAAGATGGAGTCTCTTCTGTGCCCTTCTGTCTTTGCTCTGGCTAGAGCAGCCCTTGGAGCCAGAAGGGGGCGAGGCCTCTAAGTGATGATATAGGCAGAAGACAAGATGGAAGTCTCTTCTGTGCCCTTCTGTCTTTGCTCTGGCTAGAGCAGCCCTTGGAGCCAGAAGGGGGCGAGGCCTCTAAGTGATGATATAGGCAGAAGACAAGATGGAGTCTCTTCTGTGCCCTTCTGTCTTTGCTCTGGCTAGAGCAGCCCTTGGAGCCAGAAGGGGGCGAGGCCTCTAGTGATGATACAGGCAGAAGACAAGATGGAAGTCTCTTCTGTGCCCTTCTGTCTTTGCTCTGGCTAGAGCAGCCCTTGGAGCCAGAAGGGGGCGAAATTATGTGAAATTATAAGAAGATACAGTAGAGTATATCTGTATCAAGGTGTTCTTTTTGGAATTTTTGGGAATATTTTCAAGCGGTTATTAGTTGAATCTATAGATGCAGAATTCATGGATAAGAAGGGCTCACTGTGATATATAGATTAAATGTAGGCATAGAACTAAGTACAGAAATTCAGGAAAATAATTACTTTTCATTTCCTAACATGGAGGTGGGGGGGGGGGACAGCTGACTATTGCAGACACAGAAAAGTTTAACAATTTAGTTTAAGTGAGGAAATATACTAGGACAAATTTGCAGGGAAATTCAAAGTACTCAGATACAGAAAAAGGATTGCTTCCATGGGGTATGTTCTAAAATGGTAAATTTTCAGTGATTTAAAAGCTGCTTAGCTTAGTGTAAATGTGTATGCATCCGAAGGCCACTCAAGTTACTACTGAATAAATCCTTAAGATTTTGTCTATTGTTAATGATGTACTACAGCACACATTTAAGAAAGATTACATATATAAGGGCTGTTGACATTTCTTATTTAAACTAGACTTGTAGCAGCCTTGTGTTAGATCAACTCATAAACCTAAACAAGTAATAATAGCCTGTGGGGAAATACTTGAGGCAGAGAATTTTAATTTTGGCTTCCTTGTTCTTTCTTGTAGTTCTCCAAAAGTCCTTAACCTGACAATTCAGTTATTGTGCAGAATGTAGGAGAAATTATAGTGTGTCCTTGAAAAGCAATTCAGGAAACATAAAAGAGTACTCTAGATTTTTTTTTTTTGCCTTTCTAATTTATTTTCAGTCTTACCATTCTTTGTAAAGTTTCTTCAGTGTTTATATCTTTAGATGTATAAATAACAACAGATTTGAGTAAGGTTCTTAGCATCAAAGAAACTGATAAGACTAAACAAATTCGTATAATAGGTGTATTTTAATTGAATTCTACATAGCCCAATTAATTTTACAATACATACCCTCACTGGTCTTCTTTACCTCTTTCCTACCTTTCTTCCTCTTTTCTCTTTTCTTTTTCTCACATTTAAAAACTGATATTCCTTATACATTTTGTTTACTCTTTTGTGGTTCAAGGTAATGACTTTTGAACAATGGATTCCACCGCAGAATCATAATCCAAAGACATCCAGTGATATGGTAAGATATTACATCTTAAATTCTTTTTAATTTTTCTTCTACACATTTTTGTATGGTAGCCTTCCCCAATCGGCTGCCCTTCAAATGATTTGAGAAGGCTGATGTTAAATTGCATCTCTGTATTAGGCTTGTGCACAGATTAGGAGTGGTTGGTTCCCTTTGACCAATCTGGCTTGTTTGGCAAGGTCAGATGGGTGTAATGGCAAGAACCCAGCCATCACATTTTCCCATCCAAAATGAGACCATATGGCAGGCAATCAGCCCCCCCCCCCCCAATTTGGCATACAGTTGCATCCTGATTTCAGTATATTTTTTGGCTCAGCTTCTGGCTTGGCCTCTTTCTTGAATCTTTTTGATTTTCCTTTATTTTCTTGATTTTTTTCAAAATTTAGTGGAACTGACTGGAAGTTGGGAACACGCAGGATGGGTGTGTGGGGTACGTGTGTGCATTTGGGGCCTTGGAGAGTCACCCTTTTATCTTCTTTTTCTCCTTCCCTCCTCTCCTTCAGAAAATACTTTTAAAAGATAATAATAATTAATAATAGTAATTCCAGAAAACAAAAAGAAAAGCTTCCTTCTCAAAAAAGTAGAAACAGTTTTAAGGAAGCATTAAGGCCAAAGCAGAAAGGCATGAGGGGGGAAAAGGTACCACTCCAGGAAGGGCCTGCGGTGCCTAGGGTAGGATAGCTCCAGGTCATTGTTCTTCCTTCCCTGGGAAGAACTGGGAAGCCTCCTTAAAATGCCTTGGAAAGCTGCATGCAGGGAGAGAGTGTGCATGCCTGCAGCTCATGTAAGCACCTGTCTCCTCTCGAGTAGAAACAGCTTTAACAAAGCATTAAACCCAGTTCTCCCCTACAGACCAAAAAGAAAGGATTGCAGAAAGAATGGTATTCTAAGCCCTTTCTTTAAACCCCGGTGTCTTCTACAGACTAAAGGGGAAAGGACTGCAGAAAGAGTGATATCTTAACTCTGATGCTTTTTAATCCAGAAAAACAAAAGGACAAACAATGCCATTGCCTAAAAATGGCGGGAAGAGGAACCTGGAGAGGTTCCCCAATTGCCGCCAATGAGTCAGATCTAGTCATATTTTCCAGGTGCAGTACAAAAATGCTTATCTGGCTACCCGCCTGCTTTTGGGATGTGTGTGAAAAAGGATATGGGGGGAGGGTCTACTGGTATTCAACCAGCATAAATTGATCGAGGTTTTGCTGAAATGCACAAGTCTACTTTGTAGAGCACCACATTGTGGAAACTTGCCGTGTAATTTATGAGAGTCAATGCACTGAAGTCTACCTATCCTGAGTTGAACACACAGGATCTGAAATTCATTCCTCCATCCTATGAAATCCACAATCTTATGCACATTGAACAAGTCCCACACAGTGGACCATATGACAGAGAAGATATGCATAAGATTGTATTGTCAAACAAAAGGTGGCAACAACATTCAGGTTAGACTAATATTTTATTTGTTGACCATTTCATGATTTGATCTGTTTTCTTCCTTGGGACATTGTGAAGCTCTATTTTTTTTCTTTTTTGCACAAGATTGTTCATTTGGTCAAGCTTCATGGAAACTTGGCAGTATTTGCATATGAAAGTTATCAGAGTTTTCCTTGTAATTTATTTATGCAAAATATATTGCTGCATTTATTATTTTGCGTCTCACTTTGGCTCAACACAAAATTTACCTCCTCTGCACATGAATTGCTTTTAAAACAAAGAGGATTACCCATCATCCATTAGTAAAATTGGTTGAGTAGATTATATGTTGTTCTACTTTCAGATGCCCTCTCAATTAAAATACAAGTTCAGACCTCTATGACCAAAATTCATGGGTATAGTACTCCCCATTAATAATTGCAGCTATGCTATTTGACTGTTAAACATTACCTAATTGGATTCCTAGCATTTACAATCACTTGATGCATATTTTGCAAAACTGATTTCACAGGCATCACACCCGGGGAAAATCATTGTCCATATGTCTAAAGTCATCCAAATAAAAGTCCCCTATCTTCATTTGGGATCAAGGTTGGAAGTATTAACAATTTGAATATCATCAAAGTGGCTTTGTGCATATGTTTTGATGCACTATATGTGTTATTTTGGCAGGGTTGTTTCGAGCTATAATATGTTGATATTTACATCTGCATGTCCTGAAAAATCTCAATTTACATTATTACCAATTTACAAATTTCACATTTAAAATATTTCTTTAGCAATATATTTATTTATTTATTTATTTATTGTGTCAGGGCAGCCAGTCAATTATATTACATTTCTAACAGAACAAAGCAAACAAACAGAGAAAATACAAAATGTGTGAGTTTGGTAGTTGATTAAATGTCCTTTGACCAGTATCTGGCCACTTGGAGTGCTTCTGGTGTTGCTGCAAGAAGGTCTTCCATTGTGCATGTGGCTGGGCTCAGGTTGCATTGCAGCAAGTGGTCTGTGGTTTGCTCCTCTCCGCACTCGCATGTCGAGGATTCCACTTTGTAGCCCCATTTCTGAAGGTTGGCTCTGCATCTCATGGTGCCAGAGCGCAGTCTGTTCAGCACCTTCCAAGTCGCCCAGTCCTCTGTGTGCCCAGGGGGGAGTCTCTCATTTGGTATCAGCCTTTGGTTGAGGTTCTGGGTTTGAGCCTGCCACTTTTGGACTCTTGCTTGCTGAGGTGTTCCAGCGAGTGTCTCTGTAGATCTTAGAAAACTATGTCTGGATTTAGCAACATGTGAAATCCCAGGACACTATATAGCCTTTTGTCTAAGCAGTTAAGCAAGGCAAAATAACAGAAAGTGAGGATGATGAATTGAGCTGATGTTTTGTATAATAAATGCTGATGGAACAAGTTTTCTTTTATCTGCCTAAAAAGGTAAAGGTAGTCCCCTGACAATAAGTCCAGTCATGTCTGACTCTGGGGTGTGGTGCTCATCTCCATTTCTAAGCCGAAGAGCCGGCGTTGTCCGTAGACACCTCCAAGGTCATGTGGCCGGCATGACTGCATGGAGCGCCGTTACCTTCCCGCCGGAGCGGTACCTATTGATCTACTCACATTTGCATGTTTTCAAACTGCTAGGTTGGCAGAAGCTAGGGCTGACAGCGGAAGCTCACGCAGCTCCCCGGAATCGAACCTGTGACCTTTCGATCAACAAGCTCAGCCTAAGTCTAGAAAATGTGAAAGGAACAAAAATGACTGTGGTCTTGGCATTGCTAGAAGAAGAGGTTTTCTGTCTGCCGGTACTTCTACTCTTATATAGGAATTGTGAAAGATTATTGCCAATGGATTCAAGAACAGAAGCAGATTTCATTTATAGAGGGGAAATCTTCCCATTCACATTGAACCTTCTGTTCAAAGAATGGTATTAAAATTTGACACATGCCTCACCCAGAATCATAGAATAATAGAGTTGGAAGAGACCACATGGGCCATCCAGCCCAACCCCCTGCCATGCAGGAGGAACACAATCAAAACACACCCTACAGGGCCATTCCCTCCCTAGGGATATTAGATCAGCTACCTCCCTCCTGACCTTGCATAAAAGAGTAAAAACGTAGCTTTTTGATCAAGCCATTGGAGATCGTGTGAAATAGATAAATATGGATTTATGTGCAATGACTATTGGAATGGTCCAGACTTTAGATATTGTGGTTAACAGTGAAGGCATTGTTTTATATATTTAAATGTTTTAAGATATTTTATAATTCTATTTAAATGTTTATCTTAACTGTAAATTGCTTTTGAAGGCATCAAATAGTTGCCTAAGTGTAAGCCACCTTGAGTCTGTATTTTATTCTGAAGGACCATTTGTTTCACAATTCTTACATCTTACAGATAACCAATAATAATAATAATAATAATAATAATAATAATAATAATAATAATAATAATAACAACAACAACAACAACAATAACAACTTTATTTTGTAACCCCCCACCATCTCCCCAAAGGGACTCAAACCAAGCCCAGACAAACAGAGACTGAACTATAACACCATAAAATTGCAGAGACAAACATCATGAAACATAAACCATCAAGAACAGGGCCATTTCTGTGGTGCCCCCCCCCAACTCTGGAACACCCTCCCCAAAGATCTTAGACAGGCCCCTACATTGGCAGTCTTTAGAAAGAACTTGAAGACCTGGCTGTTCTGATGTGCCATCCCAGAATAGAAAAACTCCATAATAAGTCCCAAAAGCACTTTAGTAGAATTAAGATTGCTGAACACTGCACACTGCACTTACCCTATAATCCTTACATATCACCTGTCACATCAGCACTTTTAATTCTGTACCCATTACTCTGGCCCAGCCCAGTTTTATTGTGTCTTGGTGTATTGTTTATTGCTTGTTGTTTAATATTGCTTTAATTGTTTTTAATTTGCTTTAGGTTTTTGTATCGTTATGTTGTGTTTTGAGGCCCTTTGTAAGCCGCATCGAGTCCTTCGGGAGACGCTAGCGGGGTACAAATAAAGTAAATAACAACAACAACAACAACAACAACCGAACATAGTGGCCACATACTAACTAGAGGCAAGGCAGGGGCTTGTGCAATACAACTTCAAGGACAAGGTTGATTAAAAAAGTGCAGAAGCCAGATGATAAGTTTGGGCTAGAAGGGCCAAGTCAATTAGTGCAGTACAACTGTAGGGGAAGGGACAATGGTAAAGTGCAAGAGCTAGATATTAAATTATGGCTAGAAAGGCCAGCATTATCTAGTGAACTGAATTAATTAAAAAAAACCATTGGAACATGCATGTTTTTAGATCTTTGCTGAAAGAGTACAGGCTGGGTGCTAATCTAACCTCCCAGGGGAGAAAGTTCCAGAATCAGGGGGCCACCATCTAGAAGGCCCTTTCCCTCGTCCCCACCAACCACGCTTATGATGGAGATGGGAACATTACTCTCATATCCATCTTCTGAACTTCAGTGAGACACCAGGTAGATAGTAGGAGAGGAAAAGATACAATAATAAATATTATAAGTCTAAATTTTTTTGTTTCCAATTCTGGGCATCACAGAGATAATGACAAGCTGGAAGGTGTCCAGAAGAGGGTGACTAAAATGGTCAAAGCCCTATGAGGAGCATCTTAAAGAACTGAGTTTGTTTAGCCTGCAGAAGAGAAGATTGAGAGAAGACATGATAACCATGTATAAATATTTGAAAGGACGTCACAAGGAAGAGGGAGCAGGTTCCTTATGTCGTTAGATCATTATTAGCAGTGAAATAAATGTGCTGCAAGTAGTAGAGCATTCTTCCACATTTTTCTTTATCTAAATCACCTGCTCAAGATCCTTCTAAGCTGACAATACCTTCTCTGGGACAAAGGTTGAGTATCCCCTATGCTTATCTTTGATCCTTTTTCAAAGCCATACTTGAAAATTAGGGTGTTATGCTGTTTGAAATGTGATAAGAGTCTGTAGCCAAACCATGCACATTCCTAGTGGAAGCTTTCACAGTAGTGAATCACTATGATGTTCAGAAGGCCAGAAGAATGCACATAAACTTATAGAATCTCTAACTTTTCCCATGTCATGTTGCTCTTTGAGAAGTATTGTTTTCCACAATCCTGTTGCTATTACAACAGTGAGCATGCTGCTTTAATTAATAATTTGTGAAGCCTCTCTGATCATCTGACTTGTTTCAGGATATATAAATAAATAAAACTATGTTTTCTTTCTCTCAAAACAATGGAAAATACTCCCCCCCCCATGTTTATTTTTATCCTATTCTTTGTTACTTTAGGTTACAGAGTCAAATGAAAGCAAAGCTGAAACAATGGGAACTTTAAAGCGTTTGCAAAAATTAGTCCAAACTAAGAAGGCCAGTGTACATAGCTTAGACGACATCAAGCATGTTTTGGTACCCCTCAGTAAGTAAACCTTATTTTAATCTGTATTATGTGTGCAAATTATTTCATATTTCAGCATAGGTTCAGAGTAAATATATATGTATTGTAATTCTACAGCAAAAATAACACTGTTTTATATATTACTTATACAAATATGCACCAGCTAATCTATAGTATCCTCCAAGTAAGCTTAAAGAACACATGAATGTTAAAATCCACAAACACAACATTCTGCTTTAACTGAATAATATATGTGAAATAGTTCAGACTAGAATTTGCACAAGGTCATTTTTTGGATTATACTTCCCACAGTCTCCCACATGTGGCCAATTTTTGCTAGTTCTTGTTCAGACAAAGGATGATACAGTCATTTCCTTCCACTGTATAGAGAAGACCTACCTCCCTTTCCTCCAATGTCCTCAGCCACCAATTGTAAATACATAAAATCTCAAGGTAGTCACATATACATCAACCATAATTTTGCATACTTGTGTTTTGGGGAGGAAATACTTCATTATTTTAAACAATCTTTCAAAATCTTTTTAAAGGTCCAGCACCACAAGATGTTTTTCTCTCTGAAGATGAAGATGAAGCACCAACATCGTGTATGAAACTAACCAAATCTCAGGACAAAAAAGGTTCGAAAGAAAACACAAGACGAAAGGAAGAAACTGACAATAGAACAGACCTTATCTCTGCTTCCTTGGGCAGATCCTATACTACCAGGTTAAACAATATAGGCAATATTTCTATCCGTTCAGAAACTGAATATCAGCTGTGGAGTGATTGGAAGCCTTTTCCAGATAACCAACTATGCCCTTGCGATTTTTTGATCACAAAGATAGAAGAATGGGAAAAATGTCCTTGTTGCTCTCATGAGCCACGTCTTACTGGTTCTCTCACAGATGTGGATCTCCCAAGTTCATGGGTAAGCTACTTTTTTCCTGGCTAAACTGCTTAGTTATTGACATTTCTTTAGATTCCATTTTCCCTCCCTCCCTCTTCTTTCTTTCTTTCTTTCTTTCTTTCTTTCTTTCTTTCTTTCTTTCATGACTAGCACTATCCAAATTCACTAGTCAGTCCACTAGAGAATTCTCAGTATTCTTGTTAGAAACAGGCAATTTTTTTTCAAGCGCTAGATGATTTCATCCATTCAAGCTTTACACATACACATACTAGACCAGAGGTGCTCAAACTGAGGACCGGGGGCTGGATACGGCCCTCCAAGGTCATTTACCCGGCCCTCCCTCAGGGTCAACCTAAGTCTGAAACGACTTGAAAGCACACCACAACAACAATCCTATCTCAACAGCCAAAAGCAGGCCCATACTTCCCTTTGGAATACTAATAAGTTTATATTTCTTAAAATTGTTCTTCATTTTAATTATTGTATTGTTTTTAAGTGTTTTTTGCACTACAAATAAGATATGTGCAGTGTGCATAGGAATTCATTCATGTTTTTTTTTTCAAATTATAATCCGGCCCTCCAACAGTTTGAGGGACTGTGACCGGGCCTTCTGTTTAAAAAGTTTGTGGACCCCTGTACTAGACCATAGGAATTGCCTTTGTCATTCTGCTGGCTACATCTCCTTCACCAAGTGGACAGAACAGGAACATAGGTCAGAGCTCTACACCAGTGGTTCTCAACCTGTGGGTCCCCAGATGTTTTGGCCTTCAACTCCCATATATCCTAACAGCTGGTAAACTCCCTTGTTGCCTGACCATGTGTCCCAGTTTTAATTGTGGAAAGTTGGATTGACTGGCTGCTCTATGGTTGGGCTTCCAAATTAATACAACATGTGTTCTATTGTCCCTCCATCTCTTTTTTCTCACTCTGTTCTCTGTTTTCAATATGGCAGGGTAGAGTTGTAGAAGTGAATGATAAGGAAACTGTAACTAGGCCAGGTTTGTAGAGGATTTGAAACATGAGCATTTCATGTCCATGTTGAAACAGAAAACAGAAGATAGGATAGGATAAGATAGACAGAAGAAAAACTACAGGCCTCATTAAACGGTTGTGCATACTTATGATGACTCCAGCCTGAAAGCCCTATTTCTAGCAGTAGGCTACACAGATTTTAGACTTGGGTGCATATGTTCTTCTAAGGCAGCATTTCTCAATCTGGGGATCAGGACCCCTGGGGGGTCATGAGGGGATGTCAAAGGAGTCATCAAAAACCATCAAAAACACAGTATTTTCTGTTGGTCATGGGGTTCTGTGTGGGAAGTTTGGCCCAATTCTATTGTTGGTGGGGTTTAGAATGCTCTTTGATTGTAGGTGAACTATAAATCCCAGCAACTACAACTCCCAAATGTCAAGTCTATCCAGCCAATCCAAACAAGACGAATTGGCCAAAAGGAACTGACCACTCTGAATCCATGCACAAGTCTAATATCCATCATGGAGACATGTCACATAAATGTTAACCAACTCAGTGGATAGCTGGATTGGGTTACAAACACAAAACAGTACTTGGTGTTTTTGAAACCAGAAACAGATCTGGCGAAATGAGCCAGGCAATGTTTCCTTCATGTGTTTAAACCTTGTTTATGACTGTTTATGATCTAGTATGCCCACATCAATTTTCACTTGTTCTTAACTTATTATCCTTGATATGGCATTTTGCTTATGTATTGCTTAGCTTTCATGAGGATAAAATTCATTTGACTTCAATAACAAAATTTCTCATTTTTTCACTTAACAAGTCAAACCCCCTCTAAACAGATCTTGCTACCCCCTTCCCCCCCCCCCCCCCCGGTGTTGTTTTAAGATCACCATAATTCAGAAATGACTTAAAGGCACATAACAGCAAATGGTGTTTCTACTTCTTATGCATTTTCTGCTACATTAAAACCACAAAGTATTTTAGCTTATTCATCTGTGCAAATCTAGAAATAGCTAAAATATATTTCATATTGAAACTAGAATCAGAAGACTGCTATTTTTATACATTCTGTTTTATCACCAACATTTTTAAAACATATAAAACAGGCTCAGGAAGCCTTAAAACCTTTCATTTTATAATTAAGGGTACATTTCTTACTTCCCTTAAATGCATTTTCAAATAGTTTTGTTGTTCTTGGCATTGGAGTGTCCACAAAACATTTAGAAAAACATTGTTACATATATACAAGGAACTTGGCAACTGGTACTTTAGAAATAATAATTAAAATAATTAAAATAACTAGCAAAAAAGCAGAAAAATACCCCTAAAGTTGTAGTGTATATGCTTATTTAAAGCAGTATGAGAGAAAGCGGTGGTAAATTCCTAGCATTAAAACACCAATCAATATTAAAACTGTGACGGTTCACCAATGTGACACACACTGACATGAAGAAACAAATTCAATATACAATATTTACAAGTAGAAGGTGGCTGTGGTAGAAGAGAGATTCCTAATAGCAAAAATGTTTTAACGTTTATCAGAATACACAATTGTTCATCTTGTTTTCAATCAGAGATATGCAGACAAGTGCTTTCACACTTGCAACATGAAAAACCATCTAATACATATTCGTTATCCGTAGAGTAGTTTTTCAAAAGAAAGAAGCCTTTTAGTTCTAGACCTTCCACCTCACCTCCACAAGAAAGTGCATTGAGCATGTTGTCGATTCTATGAGAACAGAGGGCTTTGTTTATCTTCTTGTCTTCTCATTAAATATTGTTGTCTCAGCTTGTAGAAACATTTTTCACCATCTGATCTTTTCCTAAAAGCTTTTGAGAACAAATCTTGTATTTAAAGGTCCCCAAGTGCTGAGGTGACTGAGTGGCATTCTACACATGCAGCAAAACCTGGGGGTGGTTAGACATTTGGGAAAAATGCGGGTGGAATTGGGTTAACAGCTGAAAAGCACATGTTAAAAAGGTGTGCTTAAAACCCTATTCTGTCAAAAAAAATGTGCACTTTCTCATGACTGTATATCTCTGCGGTCATGGAAAACACGTGACTTCCTTCATATCCCCCTGTGTGGACTGCTCCAGTGCACATGCACATTTTAAAAGCAAAAAAACAACTAATTGGGCTGCCAAAATGGAGCCATGGACACACCGGTGGCTAAAGAGAAGTACAATTAGAACTCTCTGCAACCAATACTTACTTTCTTATAATTTTAAATAGAGTTTTAATTAACACTTGAGTGAAGAGAGAGATAAGAAATCTGCTTGTATTTACATTGGGATCACCACATGTGCACATTTGTGGTCCGGTGCATCTTAGAGATAATTTAAAAAATTCCTGCGGGTATCTTGTGAACATTTTGTCCTCAGCATTTCAAATGTGAGGATGGTGCAAAACTTTGACCTAACTCTAGTCAGAGAAAAATATATTGACACTGTGAACCACTGGTCTAATTTGATAGTGGGCTCTTTCATACAATGCAGTGCCTGAATCGAAAGTTTTAATTTAAGGTGAAGACAGCTGCATTGATCATATATGCTTGGTGATCTCTTTTGAAGCCATTTTATGGGTGATTGTATTTATTTATTTATTTATTTATTTATTTATTTATTTATTTATTTACTGTATTTGTATACCGCCTTTCTCAGCCAATTGGCAACTCAAGGCGGTTTCCAACAAATCAGTATACATAAACATAATAGATAAAAAAACATTAAACAGTATAAGACATCACAAAATGTCTTGATTAAGACATATTGCAGATAAATATCCATATCATATTTACTCAAGTCTAATACACCACTGAATCTAATATGTACCACAATTTTCAAAACCCCGAAAACAAAAAAAGTATTTGCTGGCAAATGTAATGCACATAGTGATGGGAAGGCATGGGGAAAAATGGAAAAATTTAGGGAAAATGGGGAAGAACTGAAAAATGGGGGGAACCCTATTTTCCACTCCTTTTTCTGTTTTTTTCTTCTTCTAGGCCTTCTTATCTCTAAATGCACAGCAGCAAAAAGTGTACTCCTTGTAATTCGGTGAAAAAAGGTGCACATTAGGGGTGCCATTTTTCACAACGGGATCTGGATAATCTGGCATTTTTGGGTGCTGATTTATCTGTAGGAGGATTTTTTCAGCTGCAATAAAACATGCGGCAGCTGATAATGGCTGCTTTTGATTTCTTTCGGCTACACATGAAGTACAGAGTGGCAGCCACGAATGCACACAGGTTTTCCCTGTGAGCCCTGCTGCATGAGCCAATCAGAAGAAGACAGCCCAGCTGCTGCTCCTATCCTGTCACTGTGGAGAAATTTCAGGGGATACTCTTTGGATGAGTGAAACATTCTGAATCTTGGGGAGCTTGCAGTGGTAAATGTGTCCTCCAAGAGTGCCCACTTTCATCTTGATAGCACTAAAATTATGGAAAAGGGACCCTGGGAAGTCACCCCTTTGCTACCAATGGCAGGATCATAACCGGAAGTTATGGCTGCTAGCCCCAAAAAATGGCATTTTGCCTCTCCCAATATTGGGGAGTTCCCAGAAAACAGAATGGGGGTCTTCCAAAAAATGGCACCAAAATTTAGAAGGATTTTTTTTTCTGAATTGCACGCCCCATTGGCTGCCTGATTAGAATTCCTTCTTTGAAAAGTGTTTAAAAAATGAAGCTTCCAGAAAAGGAAAAGGAAACCTTGCAGTACAACTATGCTGTAGAATGACCTTGATTATGATTGCAGATAGCGTGGTTTTATAGTAACTGTAATGTTTTTTAAAATATATTAATGTATTTCAGTTTTGATCTTAATTTAATTTAAATGTTTGTTTTAATTGTACAATGCTGTTAAGGCATTGAATTGTTGCCTATCTGTAAGCCACCTTGAGTCCCCCTCAGGGTCGAAAAAGGTGGAATATAAATATGGTAAAATAGAATGAATCTACTTTAACTCTACTAAAGTAGCTTCCCCTTTTGCTTTGGCTCAGCACTAAGGTTACCATATTAATGAATCTAATGTGTACCCTAATTTTGGA